ATTCGATAAACAATCAAGTTTAATGACGAAAATGTTTGCTTCATACAATTATAACTTTACCCAAAAAGATTATTCACCCAAGGTTATCTACAGACATATATCTTCTTGCCAACCATGTAGACACGATTTCTGTGGTAAATATTACATAACTGTTTTGTAACAAAAATAACTATCCCACCTCAATGGTGCTTTCATCTGTCCTAATATGATATGTATAAGATTTGTAAGATCATCAGTCAATAAAAGTTTTTCTTTTGCAAAATAATATGCTCATATACAAAATATTAACACAGAAGTAAACATTGCAAGATGTTATAATTCATTGAAAAGTATTGCATTATTCAAGCCGCTTACTTCCTCTTAAACTAAGATCTGTTTATGCAGCTTAATTCTTTGCCATAAAAAAACAGGGGTAAAGGTTTACAACTAATACTAAATAATAACAATGGTAGAGTCACTTCACTGTATGTGGCTTCCATTGAGACTGTTCTTAATTGTTCAGACTTATTGTAATAATAATGTATACGGTTTTTGAAAATGAAACTATGTTCAGTGAGATTTATTATCTGTTATGTTGCTTGGTGAGTAAATTTTAATTTTCTTACTTTTAAACAACCCTAAAACTAACAGAATAATCACGTAATTAATATATTTATCTGCCTATCATATTCTACGTAATACAGAAAAAATCTATCTAAATTTCAAAAGTAATTCCTTTAGTTTTAAGGAATAAATTAGGTTCCCACTTTTGTCCACTTTCATGTTACACTTATTTTGTCGATGCTTTAAATTATCAAATGTAGGAAGGTGAGTTTATGAAACATGTTTGTTTCCATACAGAATAATTTCGAAACGTATGATGAACAAATAAGTAAGTAAACGATATTGTACCGGCAAACCGTACCAAGGGCAAACTTACTATTCCATAAATTCAAATATGCACCTTTAATTGAACATCAGGAGGATTACCTGGTAAAACTATGTTTTTCTGTTAAAATAGCCCGTGTGCAAAGACTTTGAAGTGTGCAGTTTTGTTTCCAATCTTAAGATAAAAATGTTTCATTTGATTTATGAGTGTTCACTTTTCTGTTGTTGATATTCAAGGTTGAAATGACCATGGACTAACAAAAGAATTCAAGACGTGTATATCTCACTGTCATTTCACAATGAATAATCAATAACTATAAATCACGAATTATTTTCAGATACAAATTACATAAACAGCAGATGAGAGGTGTCTTTTCGCAGTTTCAAATTTAAACTAATAAACAGATTAGTAGTTTGTGTACCTATGAAAAGCTTTATAGATTACTTAAGGAAAAACCAATATCTCAACGACTTTCAAATTGTTACAAAATGATTTACTTTAAGGTTTATTATTCTTGAAAGATGAAATGAGTATTATAGGACGGTGATTTAGTTGCTAAAATATTCTCTTTCAATCAATATGTTGCAGTTTAGGATCGCTCTCAACCAACTTTAGGATGGTATTACTTATTCTCATACAAACAATGTGGCTTTAAACGTCTATCTAGTAAAAATGATTTACATCAAAAAGTAACAAAAACTTCAGTAAATTCTTAAATCATGGAAATTTCTCACACCAAATACAAGATAACGGAACCATAGAAATGACTGACTTTCGCAGATTCGTATCTAATAATACTACCAGTCAGTAAAGCCTTCCTAACAATTCAATCTATATTCATAAAATAAGTCGATGTTCCCAACGAACAAGTATTCAGTACATCTTATATAATAAAATATTATAGTGTATTTCTCATAAGCTAAACATTATGAACCCAGAAAGTGTGTCATATATACATAAATTCATCTACAGAAACTATGCTGATAGACATTTAAGTAGGTATTAAAGGGGCTTGTGAATTCATATTAGAAACATTTGAATGTTGAAAAAATTTAATACACCATACAAAAACCATAATTTGTTAGATTATTTCCAATTTCACTTGATTAAATTAATCATTTCTATTTTATACACCTTAGTATTTTTATTCCTCAAATATACTATCGAGCCAAATGATTTATTTACAATACGTTGTCACCAATATTTTTCCCCAATTTTGTTTCAAAATCACATCCAAAAAACAATGGAATGAAAAAAATCTAGCAAATGTTCTACAAATATTCTTGATTCGATTTTAAAGATATCAATCAATTTAAAGATAATTTACATCACAAACTAACTATAGCTAAACAATCATGGTACACTTAACTAATTCAAAAAGCTCTTTCAACACAGTATAAAACTTCTCAACCCTAACGTTATTACCGTTTGGTCTTTCATGACATTTACACAACAAAAGTTGTTACTACATAAAATTAAGTCTATGTACATCTAAACTATGAGATTCATAACTGTTATCCAAATTGAATCAAAACATTTTTAAGACTTACAATCAATAATACAGTACAGTCACTTAAAAATTAATCAAAAAATCTTTTACCTTTATACAAATTCATAGAAATAACATTGTATATTAACGTAAATTGTACTTGACTTACTTAATATTCTGATATTCCATAAAATATCATGAATTAATAGAAACCTAGTGATCTGTATTTTAAGTACCAATGACATGAAATACTGACAATTATCTTTAATTAACCACATTATTTATTGAATTAAAATTTCCCCTTTGTTTTCATTTATTTTCATTTATACTTAATACAATTCATTGAAACTTGAATTAATCATATATCGTCTTATATACATAAATTTCAAGGTTAATCAAACCAACAAAATTGTATAATAAATAAAAAAAATAAACAAACTTAGAGATTAATTAAATAAATAATTGTAAATAAAAATAAACGTTGATTATTTTATTTATTCAGCCTTTTTTTTCTATATTAACATTCTATATTAACTAATAGATAACTGTTTTGTTACAAAACTGTAAACAAGATAAGATCTAAGATCAGATTTTTCAAAACAAAAACAAAAAAACTAACATCATTGATGATTTATATGAAGTGTATAATTGTGAACATGATGAATATGAACTAAATAAATAAATAAAATCATTGAAATGATTTTCAATAAGAATTTATTAATTGAAAATTTAAAGAAACAAACATCTACTTTTTTTTCTTGGCAACTTAACTAATTCACTTAAAGTGTTTGGTAGAAACAATAAAATAAAAAAAAAGAAACCGGAAATTCGATGAAAATTTACTCATTTCAAATGAAACATGGAAATTAAATTATTTTTTATTATGATATGTCATTATATTAGGGTGAAAATGTATAAAATGTGATGAAACTTGATTAGTATTATTCTTATATTAAATCATGGATAAACATAGATGGAAAGCATAAAATTTCATCAGGATTTATTTAGTTTTCAATAATTGTATCACAAATATTCATAATGATAGATTAATCATTTTGAATAGTGTTAATGAAGATAACTTGAACATTGAGTATTATAAACAATTATGCAATAAAGATCTTGTAGATATATTAACTACACTCATTTGTTTTGAATGAATATTTCAGTCATGACTAAAATTCTGTACATACTATTTAAAGTATAGTTGGTTAACTGTATGGTATGTGGTGCAAATAACTTTCTTCCTACATTTAACGAGTATTTTATTGAATAAACACATTTGTTGACCATAAAAAACTGAGTTTTCTGTTCATTTTATTTGGCAGCTTATCAAAAAATCCTATCTTTATTACGTGTAATTCATGGTGTCCTATAATATACAGTATACTGGAGGACAACTTTTATCTTATGTTTCGAATTAGATGTATAACTAATAAAAACTAGATTGGATATAGACGAACTATTTCATTCTGTTTTGATAGTATGGATAACAATGAAAAATACTTGAGTCATATACAAAGGTCTAAACGTGGAAATTGATGTTAAGAGTGTTTCCTTGACTAATTAACTGAGTCTTACTAATTCACAAATAGTTCTGTTATTTCGTGACTATCTAATCAATAAGTCATATTAGAGTTTCAAATAAAAAATATCAACCATCCGTGAAAAATAATTAGTTAATAGACATAAGATTACTTAGAATACACAACAATATGTTTAGTGGAGTGTTGAGTGATTCTTCACAATAAGGTTGCCAAAATAGGCTTTGTTGTAGTCTAAAACACTGATTTAATTTTCTTTTAGCGAACATATTATTTATTAAATCCTAAATGTTCACTAGATTAGACTCAAGTGATTTTGCATTTTGACGAAAATTAGCCAATTTTGAAACTACTTCAAGAATAATTTGTCATAATAAATTATGAAAATCACAGTTTTCACGTTAAAAATGTACATAAGTGTATTATATATTTAAAAACAAATCAGTTGACTATGATTTTAATATGAAGTGTATTTATCAGTAGCTTCAAAAAATAACACTTGGATACATATTGAATAGTATTCGTCTTCGATTATTAAACTGATTTACTCAAGTTTAAAATATTCCAGTAAAAATCTTAGTTATGATACCAATTTTTTTCATACATAAACAAAACATCTTTTAAAAAATATCATGAACTACTCCTTAGTTATGTTTTATTTTCAAAGCTTTTGTGTATTGATAAAATTTAATTGTATATATATTTATATATATGCGGGATCGTGGATGCACACTGCTGAGAAGTCTCATACTAGGACGAAACGGCCGTCCAGTGCTTCCAGGTTTTCAATGGTGGTCTAGCTTCAACTGACTCATGATTTCAATCTGTGAAATTTTCTAAAAATCTCCACAAATCCCTTCTGATATATACTATTTATTTATTAAAATACATAATAACCTTGTACAACATAATATATAATAATAAAACTTAACATGATAAGTAAACCATTCAAAATCTCTACAATTGACTCATTTTCATTTCTTTTTTCTCTTAAAATCAGATTCTTTAAATATTCATATTATTTTTATATTCATAATCAATATGAATAAACAAAACAAAAAACGAAATATAAATTTAAAATAAAAATCAATAATTCAATTACCTGATTTGATAATATTTTAATATAGGCCAATATCATACATTCTCTTTTTATATATTGAAAATAATTCAAATAATCTTAATTAAAATTATATTAGAATTGAATGTAAAAATGATAATGATTGTTTGTTTTATTTTATCTATTTTTTAAATTTTTTTATTTGACAACTTAGATACTACACTTGAAATCTGATATTCGACTAAAATGTTAATGATAATAATATTTATTATTACTATTAATAATAATAATAATGATTATTGTCTTAATATATAACTAACTACACGATAGAATAAATAACATTATGAAATTATCGAAATGTTTAAAATTTAACTAACACTAACATACAAGCACGTACGCACAATAAGCACATACATACACACATAAACACCATTTCTATTTTTGTTACGCAGTATACTGATATATACCACGTGGAATATAAAGATGATATATAGTTTAGAATTATTAGTATGATTAAAACTGTGATTTTATTATTATTAGTAGTAGTAGTATTTTTCGTATCATTATTATTGGTGATAATAGTGGTGGTGATGGTGATAGTATTAGTAATATTAGTAGTAGTACTGTGTGTATTATTAATATAATCCATTTTAAACTTATTATAAATAATAAATATGAAAAGTACAAATTATTAGTTAATATTATATAGACAGGTATAATGATGTTAGATAAATAGACAGGTGAGTGTAAAGTGAAACTAATATAGTTTTGAGTAGTTTAATAAAAGAAACCTTTTGTTTTTTCGTTTGTTTGTTTGTTTTTTATTTATTAAAGACACTAATTAACCCGTCAAAATAGTTCAGAATATTATTATTTTTTGTTATTGTTCATAATAATGTTCAACAATCAATTATTATTTAACCTTTACAACTACTGACAATGATAACATCATTATTTACTATTATAAAACAAACTATAGAACTTGGAATGATCCAGATAAAGTTCAAAATAATGACAAATGAACAAATATATAACTATCAGAAGGGGTTTGTGGAGATTTGTAGAAATTTTCACAGATTGAAATCATGAGTCAGTTGAAGCTAGACCACCATTGAAAACCTGGAAGCACTGGACGGCCGTTTCTTCCTAGTATGAGACTTCTCAGCAGTGTGCATCCACGATCCCGCATATATATAAATATATATACAATTAAATTTTATCAATACACAAAAGCTTTGAAAATAAAACATAACTAAGGAGTAGTTCATGATATTTTTTAAAAGATGTTTTGTTTATGTATGAAAAAAATTGGTATCATAACTAAGATTTTTACTGGAATATTTTAAACTTGAGTAATATATAACTAGATAATTTGGAAATTACAAAATTTATTTACTATTGGATGCCGGATCAGTAGTCTAGTTGTTAAGCGCTAGCGCACGAGACTGATACATCTTGGGTTCGAGTCTCGTGAGGTAGAATCGTTGATGCGTACTGCTGAGGGCGAAACGGCCATCCAGTGCTTTCAGGTTTTCCACGGTGGTGTAGCTTCAATTGACTCATGATCTCAACCATTGAAACTATCTATTTTTGTCTGGCTAAAATTAAGTAAATTTATTTTGCTTATTAAATACATGTAGATAGATAAATAAGCTTTCAAATTAGTAGGGGGGAAACGCTAAACAGCTTAAGTAACAAATTCTTTAAATCTACCAGTAAAAACAGTTGTTCATTCAGATCAATGATTATGGTTGTGAATATTACTTTACTTCAAATGTTAACATCTATTTATATGTTGTAATATCAAATATGTTAAACATATTTGTATATTTGAACTTCAATTAATATCCGACAGATTTCTATCATTCGCTATTTACATAGATAAACTGAAACACAACAAAAAATAGATAATTATCAGACAGATTCTTAACTATGTATTGACAAAACACTATGAATAAATATTTATTTTCATAATATTTGATAATATTATTAAGGTAGACCATAATTTTCTAGTGATTACTATATTTTCTATCCTTTATCAGATAACTACACATATACCGTTCCTTTATTTTAATCTGACTAACTCTATTCGTTTTCCAGCAATTATTCGGTTTGCGTTCTAACATGTGATGTGTATAAGTAAATGAACCATGAGTGAATACATCATAAACGTAGAAAACTGGATTCTCATTACTCTTTTATGAATAACCCTGTAATCCATCAGCTATGCTTAGTTTAGTCAAAGATCGGTAAACAATACCCTTACAAATTTGGGAAAACACAACTATATATATATATATATATATATATATATATATATATATATATATACTAGTCACAATGAAGGTCATAAACTTTTTTCACAAGTGGTAAAAGCATTAAATTATTTAAATACATTTGAAGTGTATAATGTTGTCTATCATGCATATACGAACACCTCGTCTTTGGAAATAGACTTGGACAGCTCCTAAATTTATGTTATACGCACAAGTTTTTTTAATAGGGAATAACGTGTTAAATACAAGAGCTATATAGATAGTTTTTGTAGTATTTAACAAACTAACAAAATTAATTTGATTCATAGAACCGAAGATTTTGGAACTTATAAATTAATAGTCGGTCATAATCAATAATTTATATAAGTTCATAGATTATTCAAGTCATTTAAAACAATATTTTCATAATTCTTTCTATGTACTCTTATTTATTGATTTTAGAAAGTGATTGATTATTTTAATAAATAAATATCTTTGTCAGATAATGATCACAACGCTCCATACAAGCTTTTTTACAATAAGCTCGTTTTAATTATTTTATCGTTTTTTGTCACACTTTTTAAATAGATTATATTCATTTTCAAACTTTATTGAAAAAAAAGACTGATGTAATGTCACGAAACTATTAGGAGCAAAGAATATTAAAGTTCGGGTTCTACTGTAAACATCACCATTGGAATGAAGGTACATCTAACTAATGAGTTCTTTAAAGAAAAAAACGCCCATCTTAGGTTCTGTCACTAGTCATGATCAATATATGTCGAAGTGTTGGATAATATTCGAATTGATTATATATTTCAAACCTTTCTTCATTGAGTAGGTAATACGTTTATTTAACTTAGCGGAATCAAATCTTCGTGATAAATGCAAACCAATAATTTGTATTTAAGTCCATTTATATGTACTAATGACTAAATTAATTCAAAAATAAACAAGCCAGTCACGGTACAATTTGAGTAGACGTAAATAGAATTAAACATTTGTTTATTTTTAAAATAGGAACTTTTGACTCGATTCCAAGGTATGAAAACTATTACTGTGGGTGGTTTAACGTAAAATTTTGTTACTTCAGTGAAATTAATGAAATAGAAGTTAATGAAACAATAAAGTTTTCAGGAAATTTATTGTTTATTCAACAGAAAATTCATTGGGCCAGAGCTCACTTGTATACAATAAAAGATCTGCTATGTCGATTTCATAATATTGTATATGGTACATTTAACGTTCAATTTAGTGAATAATCATCAATAAAACTAGTGATTAGGTTTACATGTTTTAAATTAATAGACCAGTAAGCTTAATATCACAATGTAAAGCAAGCTATAGTAAAACATTAGAATACTTAAATTACTCAAATACTTAAATCAATAGCCTACGTCAGTGATCTACTCAAAAAGTAGAGCTCTGTGAATTGACGCTTAATTTAGATTAGCACATTAGTGATAATTTAACTTGATGTCCCAAAATGAAATTCAAATTCATCCTCTCAAATACCCTTCAATTATTTAGTTAAAACTCGATTATTCACAATTTTAACCTCAAAGAACTGATCTAAAGAAATCAGTGATTAGTTATATCACTGTTCACTTGACTTAACGGATTATCATTACACAGTGAAACTTTAGGAAATCTACCACAACAATATTTATTAAACAACACCAGAATTCATGTTTAATCAAACAACTTTTAGAAGAATTCAAACACTTTGAAGATTGTAAGTCTGTAGAGTTTAGGATTTCCGAATTTAAGACGAAATAATCATCTACAATCCTTTGCTTTCAATGTTCACCTAACTGATGTCAGTATGTAGTTAAGACTACCATGTACATACAATTAAAATTATAAAACATATATATACAATAACTTAATGATTATATTTTAAATCCAGTTTGGAATAAGCTTAAAAACATGCATAACTACCATTTCATATAAAACATTTCAATGAATCACTTGTTTCATTCAATTGGCTCTTGTTTTTTCATTCTTTCTATAACTGAGAGTTTTTCTATAAAAAAGGCACCACAAAACTTTATGTGTTCATATAGTGTGTACATGTTTCTATCGTCAGTTATTGATTTAATATGAAATGTAAATTTTAAAAGGCGAGCGCTGTGCTTACATACATCTGGGGTTATGTGTGTAATAAAGAGAAAGAAAGAGACCCATAGAGTAACAAAATAATCAATAAAATCAGGTGACACCAAATTATATTTCAGAAATATAAGTTTTTATTTAAATCAAATAAAGACTGCACTCTTATATTCGATCTCTTAATGAATGAAAATATTCAAGTTAATTGTAAGGACTTTGTTCAAGATGAAATTAATTACTGTCATGGACTGAAATTAGTTGTAGAAACATTAAATACCATATATTTATATCATTCTACCTTAAAATTCATCAGTTGAGTATACCCACGACTTCATAAAAGCTCGAACCCGCAGGTAATGTTCCTGAGCATGCAAATACATTACTTGATTCTCATGCTTCACATAAATGGCTAGTTATAGAAAACACTGCATATAGAAAATATCAAACGCTAATATGTAAGCATAAAATCAAATGGAAAAGTTATTTGATCTCTAATTCAAAATAGAAATCCTTTGTTCATGAGTAACGTCACTACAGTCTTCGTGGGAGTACAAAGCATGATTTATATGCTACGATTATTAGTGTTATGAATATTAACACTATTCTGTAAGGTTGATAGCTAAGAAAATATCATCTTCATTGGTCAGTATCATTCAAAATCGATTCAGTGTTATAAATACCCATTAATTATTTCATCTAAATTAGTGAATTAAG